TCATATTCGAGGAATTCGTTTTCTACTTTAACTATTTGATACGAAAGTAGAAATGTAGTTCGAATTTCAAGGTTCAAATACTTAAAGCATATTTTTGGTCAATTGAATAGAAATCAAGTTTCTATGATTTTAGTGGTTTTTTATTTTCCAATTTATATAAAATTGATTTGTCTTTTTTGACCTTTGCAATCAAATCAGATCCAAAGTCCTATGGCGCAGGAGAACAATGGTAGGGGCAGAAGAGAGGAGCACAAACTCAAAGAGAACGTGCCTGGGTCTATCAATCTGCAGGTTGTGGTACATTGTACTTTTCCACTTTTTGATTAATTTTTGCTACTTTTATGGATAACTGGGTTAAAGCGTCAATCAAATTTTTTGGTTAAAATGCCTCCACTCAATAATTTATGGTCAAATAGTCTATATTTATTTTTCATACATGTTTAAAGCCAGTAGTACCCTTTTAACTAATTTTGTGTACAAGTATCTTCTTATATTTCTTCGTATCCACATAAAAATAAACGAATTTAAGATTTTCCTACATTTGAAATGAAATCAAGACCAATAGCCCGAAAAAGTATGCCATTGATTTAAAATGTTAGGTGCCATTTCAATTTATTCCGTATTTGTTTCTCTTTATCTTCACTCAAATTCACATAGAAATGAACGAATACAAGTTTTTTTTTTTTTGCATTTGAAATAAAATGGTTACCCCGTGATCCAAATGGTAGGTTATCATTTTACATGACGAGGTGTCATTTCAATTAATTTCGCATTTGTTATACTTTTATCTACACTTAAATTCACATGAAAATCAATAAAATGCAAGTTTTGAATACATTTAGATATCATGATCTATATAAAGTTCACATGATAGTGACCAACACTATTGTTCGATAAGAAAACTGCATTAGATTTTACTACGAATATATGTAAGAACTTAAATTTCCTTATATTTTAATTATGAGATAAGGCATTCAACAAATTAACTCGCTCATTTTGCACAAGTCTTCAACAGTGTTCCAAAGTATGATCAACTAGCTTTGAAGTGAAAATGGAGACCTCGTTACCCAAAACCCATGCTGTCATTTTAAATGATTAAGTGTCATTTTATTTTGTATCTATACAACTTCATGTTCACTCATATCAACATGAAAATGAATGAAATGTAAGTTCTCATTATATTTGGACACCACGATCAATATAAAGTTTACGCGATGGCTACCAACACTATTGTTCTGCTAATAAACTACATTTTATTTAACTACAAAGGATTGTAAGTAACTCAATATTATTATATTTTTAATTATGAGATAAAATACTCAACAAATTAGCTCGTTAACTTGTACAAGTTTTCTAAGATATTCTAATATATGATTGGCTAGTCTTGAAATGAAGTTGAGACCCTGACCCAAAATGACATGACATATTGCCATTTTAACAAATATGTGTCATTTTCAATTAATTTCATGTCTATTTCACTTTATATTTCCTCGTATCCACATAAAAATGAATCACTACCAATTTTCACTACATTTAGACAAACGATCGATATAAAATTCACATGATAGTTATCAACACTATTGTTTTATGAGTAAACTATACTAAATTTTATTACGAATGTAAGTAACTCAAATTCTGTTATATTCCAATTATAAGATAAGATATTTAGTAATTTTACTCATTTAAATTGTACAAATCTTCAGAGATGTTTCTAAATATGATTGACAATTTTTTGAGTGAAAATGAGACTACTATACCCAAAACGGCATGCTTTCTTTTTATATGGCTAGGTGCCATTTAAATTAATTTTGTGTCCATTTTACTTTACATGCACTCACATTCACATGAAAAATAAATGAATATAAGTTTTAACTACATTTGATACTACGATTGATATAAATTCACTCAATAGTGACCAACACTATTATTTTTGTGAGTAAATTACACTATATGAACGAAAGCAAGTTAAATTTAGTTATATCCCAATTATAAGAAAGATAATTAACAAATTAGCTCGTTTAGCTTGTACAAATCTTCTAAAAATTTTCAAAATATTATCAACTAGCCTTGTGACCCAAAACGACATGTCGTTGTTTTAAACGATAAGGTGATTTATCAATTAATTTCATGCCCTTCACGTTACCTGCATTCGTATCCACAAAAAAAATAAATGAATGCAATTTTTCAGAACATTTGTACACCCTCTCAATATAAAACACAATAGTTACCAACAATATTGTTCAACGAGTAAAATACACTAAACGAATGAAGGAATGTAATTTTGAGCTCATACGGTTCGTTTGTTCATCATTCGTACTAAAGATTGAACTTATGACTTCATATTAGAAATGCTCGCTAACAATAACCTAGGTCGCACATGATTTGATAATTTTTTAATTTTAGAAATACTCGCCAACAGTGATATAGATTTGCACAAACGAGTTCAAGATAGTATAACAAATAATATTCAAAATACTGATGTTGTAAAATTGGTAAAATGTCCCCGATGGTAAAAAAATTTAATATAATGTTAAAGTATCACATGAATCTCGTGGAACTACGTCTTACTTTATACTTTCAAACGTACTCCTAAATCGGAAAGCAAAACTTAATTTAGTGCTTGTTTGGTAAGGATTTTGATAATTAATTTTTTTTACCGTTAAAGATAAAGTTGATCATACCAGTGAGAGAAAATTTCAAAAATGACGACTGAAATAGTGAAATAAAAATCAAAAAATTGATTTTAATTAACTTAAAATCTATATCAAACAAGCTCTTAATAAAATTGGACATGTAGAGTCATGATGATTTAAAAGAGAATTGAATTGTTTCCTTCAACAAAGGCTGATTGTGTAATTATAATTGAAGATTGAAGATCAACCTACTCATTTTTAAAGATTTGGAACCAAGTTAACATTTGATGATAAATGGAAAAGGTAAGAAATGAATTGTAATAATAAGATATTTCAAGAGTCGTTGTAATCTTAGCTTCTGTTTAGCCCCCATTTTATAGAAATGAAAATGAGTGGAATGGTATTTTTTTGAAAAATGAGTGGTTGAAAAAAAAGGAGATGTTTTCAATTTACATGTAATATTATTTTGTGAAAGATTGTGTGGTTAAAAATAGGAGGAAAAAAAATGAAACATAATGAAATGGAAATAATAGAGGCTAAACGGGAGCTTAACTTTTTTCTTGACAATGGACAATCGTTGTCAAAGCATGGGAATTAGCAAAAGAAAAACTTGACATTGTGGCACGGAAAAGTACCTACCTAATATGGTACAATTACCTCCTTTCAATGACTTTTTGCTCCTAAATTGAGATCCACCTTTTAGATATTGTTACTTCTTTTTCAAGACACCCTAATTATTATTGCCAGATCTTAAGAATGTTGCTTTTATAATCATAATTCCCTTTTTGTATGTTAGCACAATTCATGGTCTATAAAACAACCAATGATAATCACATTTGTGTGTGTGTGTGTGTGATAGAGAGGCTCCCAAAATCTTTACAATTTAGTCAAAAAGCAAGATTGAGATCATTATATTAAAATCTTTTCTTTTAAAAAAAAAACAAATTTGCTTTCGAGTGGTAAAATGATTGATTGTTCGAAAATGGGTGGCATTATACACTCCCACATTCTTTTTATTTTGAACAACGTTGTGTGTACAGACAGCATTGTCCACAAAAATGCCATAGAATACTCACAATGGTGAACGGGGTGATTTTTTTGACATTTTTTTATTACACCATGAGATTCACCCATGTGAGTGTCTGAAGGAATTCTGTGACGAAAGTTTCTGTACAAACAAAACGTTTCTGCTTTATTTCACCGCGTTACCTTTTTCACATTTCTTCTACTAATATCAAATTCTAATTCTTTTTAATTGATTATAACTTTTTGGAAAAATAATGATGTTTGAAATAAAGAATAAAATGTTTTTAAATAATATATTTCAAGATTACTTGCTATATCATTGCATGAGATGTATTAAGATTGAATTGCTCTTGCTAAGAAAGAGCAATTAAGAATGAGTTGAAGAGTCGGTGGTGTCAAAACAACCCCAAGTGGTCTAGGTTTTGAGATGTCTCGGCTCATTTAAAATAATAATAATAATAATAATAATAATAATAATAATAATAATAATAATAATAATAATCTAAAATTGAAACACGCTTGACCTATTTTGGCCCTATTCACATATGGACTCATCATAAGTGTCTCTTGTTGAGTTAGATTTTCTAGCCTCATGAGTCATGAGGACGATTATGATCAACATAGTTTATTAAAAAAAAAAAAATTACAGTAAATATAAATTATTTTTATTTTTTTCAAACAATTTACTCGTTTAAGTTGTAAATAAAATTAACAAGATTTTTTTTCCCATTTATAACTTGATTTTAAATGGAAGTAAATTCTCAAAGAAGAAAAAGGAATAAGTTGAATATTGGCATATTTACACGCTGATTTAGGGATGTTAATGAACCAAGTCGAGCCAACTTTTAGCCGAAACTTGAGGTCCGAGCTCGGCTCAAGTAAAAATGGTTCGAACTTTTTTTGGTCCGAGCAAAGCTGAGTTTTTGCTCGACCAAAAAATCTAGCTCAATCAGAACTTTCGGCTCGAGCCTTATCGAGGTGAGCTAAGCCGGGTTGAATCAACTTACTCTTTTTTTAAACTGTCTGTTTGCGAGCAACAACAAGCAGCTTGTAGGTGCCTTTTGCATGTAGATTTTTCCCTTTTTTTTTAATGGTTGGCTCATTATTGGCCGAAATGGCCCGTGATATGAGCTGGCCTATGTGGCTCATCGAGCTAGCTCAAGCTCTAGCAAAGCAAGCTGCATGGGCCATATATGACTTTTCCCATGTCGAGCCAAATGTAGCTTGAGTTGACGAGTCAAATTAATACCCTTCATTGAGAGGATGTATAGTTAAAAAATAAGAAAAAAATTTTGGATTCACGTGTGTGGTTGATCGGAAGAGAGGGAAAATGAATTATAATTTAAGGGGTCCAATAGGGACAAAATAGAGATACTTGTTTGCTTTAATATTAAAGTATAGTGAGTAGAGTGACAATTACAGTGAAAATTGAGTGACCTCTAATGTAAATAAAAAACAACTTCATCGTGTGTCTCCCTCATAAAAGTGAATGAAATGACAGTAATGGCAATGGCGATATAAATCCTCACATTCAAGCCTGTTTCCATAACGCATATCCGCCCCCCCTCCTTTATCACCACCCATTTCCACCGTATTCCCACAGAGAAAAAATGGAACAAGAGCTTCAAAATCTCTCCACCGCCACCGAAGAATTTTCTGATGGGATCGACAGCTGCTGTTCCACTCCCTACGTTAGTGCACCTTCTAGCCCAGGCCGCGTCACCTCCTCTGTTGGCGGCTTCTATTACAGTGCGCCCTCCAGTCCTATGCACTTCGTCACAAATTTGATTTCCGTTTCTTCCAGTGGTGTTGAATCTTCCCCTTCATTTGAGTTTGATTTCTCGGCACAGCTGGCCACCAATGGCGGTGGGGACTCTGAATCACCTGAATCCATGTGCTCTGCCGATGAATTGTTCTTGAATGGCCAGATCCGTCCCTTGAAGCTCTCCACCCATCTCCAGAGACCACAAGTTCTGTTCCATGTGGACGAAATAAATGATGTAGAACATTCTGTGCTTGAGGATGATGAGAAACTTGTTCGTGGGAGGGACTTGAAGTTCCGGACCGGATCAAGGAGGACTAGATCTATGTCTCCTTTGAGAACTACGTCTTTGGAGTGGCACGAAGATGAAGAAAATGCCGAGACGAAAAGGCAAAATGAAGAATCTAAGCACGAAGCTTTGGGGCTGGATGAAACACCAGCATCTGCATCTGCATCTGCCTCTGAATCTTCCTCGAGAACTTCTTCAGTTGGGAGGAAGTGGATTTTCCTCAAAGAGTTTCTGTACAGAAGTAAAAGTGAAGGAAGAAACAATAGCCACAAGTTTTGGGGCTCTCTATCTTTTTCACCTTCGAAAGATAAGAAAATTACATCAACTAGAGGCCCAGAGATTGCAATTCATGGAGAGGGGAAGAAGAAAGAGGTGAAAAAGAAAGCTTCAAACGGGGTGGGAAAAAGAAGGGTTCCACCATCTCCACACGAATTGCATTACACTGCAAAACGAGCACAAGCAGAGGAGATGAAGAAGAAGACATTCTTGCCATACAGGCAAGGTTTGTTGGGTTGTATGGGGTTCAGCTCAAAGAGTTATAGTGCCATGAATGGTTTTGCTAGAGCTTTGAACCCAGTGTCTTCAAGCTAATGTATTTTGTTGGGTGGGTTTTGTATAGAAATATATTTGTTTGTGTTCATTCCAGTTATCTCTGTCTTCATCGATTGGCAAAGAAAAGAGAATTCGTCTCGTTTTTGTCATCTTGGACGCTACAGCAGGGTTTTTTTTTTTTTTTTCAATAAATTGAATGTGTCGTTTAAAGTTAAATTTTAAATTTATTATGGGGCATCGAACTTATATTAGTTGAAAGGTTGTAGATTTCATGAAATTTATAATTAAAATTAATTGTTAATTTTCACATTGAAATCGATTATAATATTCCAGACGGTGGCTAAATCGGAAGGTCGGCACCTAACAAGAAAAAAGTGTAAAGGTGGGTCCGAACTATTCTAGGAGTGATAAGTCTCAACTCAGGAAGAAGAACTGAGCGTCCATTTCTGACTCTTAATTTGAATAAGATGTTTAGTTTCTTGGTGTCCGTTTGACACTTATTATTTTAAATTATAATGAGGAGAATATTAATTTTTTAAAAATGTATGGCTAAAAAAAATAAAATTTTGAATTTGGGTATAATATTGTTTTATTGGAGAATTTGTGATTGAAAAAAAATAGAGAAAAATGAATTATAATTTAATGGGGAATAATGGGGCCAAACAGGGGGCTTGAAATGCATTAAAACTGCACAACTCTATGTGCTCGCCTTTTTACCCTATTATGTATGAAGCAACAGTGTTTTTAACACAACGGAAGCTTATAGGAAAGATGAATAAATATCATAGGATGAAAAACTCGTGAAAATTTTATTTCCGTTAATCAATGCGGGCTCAAGGGACTTACAATGCTTCATATAGCGAAAACCTTAGGAAAATTCTAAAAAAAAAAAGTTTAAATAATAACAAAAGAAAAATATTTTTTTTTTCCAAAAATGAAATAAATCGAGATAATGACTAACGTCGAAAGTCCTAATATTTAGGATTATTCTTTAATAAACAGAAATCAAATCCGAATTTATTTGATTGAGATATAACCAAAACAAAAATTACCAAAAAAGAAAAATGACAAAAAAAAAACCACATAAACGAATGTTTAAATGGAGGAATTTTCTTAAAATTGGCTTGTTTCCAATCAAATTTGACTAAAATTCGTCAAAAATGGACAACCCCAAAATTTCTCCAAAACTATGAAGTTATTTATTTTTGCTTGCGCCAATCCCACTTTGCTATAAAGTTTAATTCCTTCGGCATCACATCATTCCTCCCAGTTGAGAACAATTCAAGCTTGAATTTGGTAGGAAAATAACATCATCATCAGAATTATCACCATAAAATGGCACTAGATGCTTGTCATAAAAACGTTGGATGTACGAATATGACTGGGCAGTTTCAAACAATATGCATTGGGATTAATCTTATCAATGATATCCAATGGACCAATTTTTAGTCGACATGTCGAGTTGATTGGCCAATTTCTAATCAAAATTGACTAAAATTTTGCCAAAAATAGACAACCTCAAAATTTCTCCTAAATTGGGGAAGTTGCCTATTCTACTTGTGCCGGTCCCACTTTGATATAACGTCTAATTCCTTCTGCACCACATTAATTTCAAAAGCTGTTGTATTTCAAATTTTGTTCCTAAAATGTCACTGAACTTTAAGAAATTTTCGAATTGTAGTTTAAACATTGTTTCTATTGTCACCTCCTCCTGTTTTGGAAAATAGAATTGTTAATTTTTCGAATGATATGGAATGACAAGTGGGTTCAAAGTTCAGTACTGCCGAGAGATTATTTTAAAACTATATTATTTGCAAAAAATTTTAAATCCAATGATGTTGGAAAACACTGTAGGAACTATAGTGACCCTACGGATTTTTACCCTAACTTAAAAGGTTGAACCCCAATTTTAAGGGTCCCCCATCGCCCCTACCCTGGAGTATCGTGAGGGAGGTAAATCGCAGGTTATGCCTCCAAGGGTACAGGGTGGAAGGTTGCTTGTACACTTGCACTTACCCAAGAGCCAAATCCATATTTCAGGATTCGAACTCTTGATGCGGCAACCTCAAGTAAAGCTGAATTTCTCCACCCTCTCTTTTTACCACTTGGAGATGTGCCCTGAGGGCGGATTTTTACCCTAACTTACACACGATTAAGGTTGTTAAAATGAGCAAAGCTTGAATCGTCTTTAAAATTTATATTCAGTAGACTGGCCTCCAAACCATGCCAATATTGTGGGCTAGTTGGGCCGGATTGGTCAACCCATCATGATTTTTTTTTTTTCGATATTTTGACGAAAGATTCTTACTGATATTTTGCAAATTACATCATTAAACTTTCTTGAAATATAAATATATATTATATAGTAATTTTTTAATAATGGAGCTATGGTTGGACATGATCCGGTTCGATGCCTAAAATTTTTGATATTTAATAAGTGGAACTGTCAGGTCTAGATTTAATTATGTAACCGTTCAGATTCGATTCCATTTGGTTCGGTTCTGTTCGATTTTAGGATTCCGTACTTTAGTAAAAAAAATTAGTATTTATAAAGCTACATTAATTTAACTAATAACACATTCAATCTTTAGTTATTACAAAATAACATAATCCAATCTTATATATTTTTTGTATCTTTCTTTACTGAGTTCTTCATAGATTTGATCGTTAAAATCAGAGGAAAAAGAAGATAGCGAATTCACAATAATTAAAAGATGTATAGTCGAGTTTCGATTCGATTTCTCCAGAACAGTAGAAATGACACTGCGGTAGAATAACAAATTTGGGAAAACTTAGGTTAATATAATTAAATTGAGTCCGGACTAAAAATTAAAAATGAGAAATCATATTTTAGGGTTTGAACTAAATTAATTAGTTAGTAAATTCATTTTAAAAATAATTTGGTTTATTTAAAATAAATAAATTAAAATATTTGGGAGATTTTGTTTTTGCTTGATTCTTAGATTTTTTTGATCTAAAATCGAGAGCCGAACTGAAACTATCGATTTTTGATTCAGATATACGTTAGGATGTTTAATTTAAGGAGAACCGCTCGATTCGATTCAATTCTGGTCAGGTTGGGTCTGATTCGATCATTTTCGGTTCGGGAGTTTTGTCTAACCCTAAATGAAGCTGATCGCACAACTCATCACAATTGGCTTACAAACTCGTAAACAATAGGCTAGGGTTTTGACACCACTAAGGCAGAATTCAGCAGGTGTTGCGGGGAGCTATGAGTTCTTTTGTTATACATGTTAGTTTTTAGCTATAGAGTAAATTTATCAATTAAAAAATAATATTCATATTTCAATACACCATGAACAATTTTTTTCCTATATATTATTTTTATACAATTTTCAGATTTTTTGTACAATGAATTAATGTTGTATTGAATAGTTATATTATTTCTGATTTTGTATGGAACCAAGTCATCAACCCAATAATGTGCAAACTATTCTTCTAAACTTTCCATAATTTCGTATGCTTCAAAAAGAACAGTTTAAAGTATGTATGAAAAGTTTTTGCATAAGATTTAAATAATTATATAGAAAGAAATAAGTGACGGATAAGTATATAGCATACAATCATACAATCATTGAAAATATATATTTTTTGAATAAATGTGTGTGTATATATATTCGAATTTCTGAGTAAAAATGTATTTGTGAAATTTTTGTAAGAGAGCGAAGGTAAAATTTTTAGAGTTTGATTATTATAAAATAGAAAATAAAAGAAAATAAGGAAAGAGTACGAAATTCACAATACGTCAACTAGACCATGGTTGAGTAGTCGAAAGCAGAGATTGTGATTGCGGCATGTGAATATAATTTCAATAAGTGAGTTGATAATAAAAAACGGATCAACAAATTTTCTCACTTAACTATAATTTCAACTCCTAAACTAAGAGAGGAAATAACTATTTGGGAGTGAAATATTTGAATGGCATGTACTAACTCGATCTGTTTTATTTTCCAACAGGTAGTATAAGGGCTATTGCTAGTGATTTGTTCGAGTTCTTTGTTATTGATGATAGTCATGAAATATGAATTTCTACTCTTGGATCGCAATACAAAATTCTCATTGTGGCAAGTGAAGATGTGAGTTTTACTCGTGCAAATAGATTTGGATGATGTGTTGTTGGAATTTGACAAAATGTCCACAACTTAGACGATGGAAGAGAAACAACAGAAAGATCGAAAGACGCTTTGATAGATCTATCTTCATCTCTCTGACAATATTCTTCAACATGTTATGAATAAGAAAATAGTAGCTACGTTATGATTGAAGTTGGAGTAATTGTGCATAATTAAAAGTCTAACAAGCAAATTGCATCTGAAACAGATGTTATATCTTATCACATGGTAGAACATGAATCTTTGGAAAATCATCTGGCTGTGTTCAAGGTGATCATCGTCGATTTAAAGACTTTTGATGTAAAGTATGATCCATGTGCTCATCTTAGGTGATAAAAATATGTTGAGGTCCAGATGAGTGAAAGAAAATTGGATTTCCTGAAAACCCTAACTGTCTTTTTCTCCCTACTAGAAAACATCGCCCTTCTAAAGCTGTGCCATCCATTATGAAGAAGATTTGACTTTAATCCTTCTATGTTTCCTGCCCACTTTGTTTATTTTGTTTAGAGACATGATATTGTATAGTCGTGATACTCTCACCATTGAATATATATATGATGCATTGTTTTCAAAAAAAAAAAAAAAAAAAAAAAAAAAAAAAAAAAAAAAGATGATGAAGATGAAGTATCTGGTTGGATCTGAAGCTAGAGATCGAGAAGGATTTGTTATTTATGGTGTTTGAAGAATGGGTAAGTCGAGGTCAAATTTCAATAATAAGGTTTATAATTATTAGGGATTGCGATAGATTATAGAACGGTGGTAATTTAATTACAAATCATCGGAAGCAATCAAATACATTAGACGAGACCAACATAGCCTAGAACTATTTGAGCGATGGAGATGTTTTGACGATAAGTGGATTTTGGATACAGCTTTTGCGTTTTGCATGTGTTTCAATTGGGATTTGTTGAAACATATGAAATGGTGATGCAAGATGTCGTTGTCATGGATAACAATGAACTTTGTTGAGTAGCTGGTATTGGTAGAGTCAAATTGAAGTTGGTTG